CACTTTTAATTGTTCGAGGTGAATATATCTATTGAAACAAAGGGGAGGATCCTGGTTCTTTTCTGAGAGTGTCATATCCAGCCTTCTGTGCTTTGGTGGTTCAGCTAGTTGCCTGAAAACAAGTCTGTCCATCTGTCTTCATTAGAAAAACTGCTTTTGATGTCAGCAATAGTTTTACTGGCCCTTGAGGGAGGAGTGCACAGACTTTGCACTTCCAGAAAATAAGTTATCTGCCAGTCCTCAGGAAGAAAGTAAAATGGCGAGGGGCAGCTGCCTTGTGGTTGCTAATAATTCAGGAGTATGTTATGACATAGTCAATCTATCCAATTCCAAAGGCAACAAGTATTCTGGGACCTGGGCAAGTCCCATTGCTCAGAAAAAAAAGACTTACGAATCTGTACTAAGTTTACAAAGCTGGTTTCATCTTCACAGCTGAAAGTTCAATGTATTTCCAAGTAGTGAGAATAGCATGAGATGATGACAATATAATCAGTAATTTATATACATCTCTGTTCAGTGTTCCCCCTAAAAAAAAAATCCTCATAATTTGTTTTTGTTTTTAAACACAAATAGCAATTTTACAAAGACTCAAAAGAGTTACAAGAACATACTTTCTGAATAGTCCCAAGTTTTAAGTTGGTTACTGCAGCTTTCTGTTTTCAGCTAACGTACAAAGCATCAATTTGATAATTACTGCTAGACTCTTCTCTTGAAAGGCAATCATAAAAATTAACGCCACTTTGGTGGGTTTCTATTTTTTTTAAAGGAAATTCTGCACTATATTTATTTGAATGCTATGACACGAGAACAGAGAGCTGGCACACCAAGCCCAGCATGCTGACCCAGCGCTGCAGCCATGGAATGGTAGAGGCAAATGGTCTCATTTACGTATGTGGAGGGAGCTTGGGAAACAACGTTTCTGGAAGAGTCCTAAATTCCTGTGAAGTTTATGATCCAGCCACTGAAACGTAAGAATTGTACCCATTCTGATTATTTTTGGTCACTTGTGGCTTTGCTCACTCTGTAAATAACAGAAGTATGGATGAGTAGGAAGAATTGTATGTGGTAAGGAATTTTACTCAATTAGGCAGTAATAAATCAGTTATTTGTAGTTTTACTTAATGGGCAGTTTTAAGTAGCTTTCTTCCATATTTCCATATTTGCAGACCTGCTTTGGCAGGGGAGTTGGACTAGATGATCTCTGAAGGTCCGTTCCAACCCCTGCCATTCTGTGGTATTTAATTTTCCTAATGCTCGGTTTTATTTACATATTTTATACTTATTTTCTGTGAACTCAACAGTGAGCTTTCCTGTTTTGTTTGGTTTTCTTTTTCCTCAGATGGACGGAGCTATGTCCAATGATTGAAGCCAGGAAGAATCATGGACTGGTGTTTGTGAAGGACAAAATATTCGCTGTGGGTGGACAGAATGGCTTAGGTACTTTAATTCTATTAATTCTCTAGTTGTTTTCCTGGGGGCCTTTTTTCTTTTGCAGAGAATTCATTTTGCTCTGTTCAGCTGAAAAACTTTAAGCAGTACCATAAAGCATGTCCTGTTGTTGTCATCACACCATTGTTCACCTCGCTACTTCACTGTATCTGATTTTTTCAAACTCTTACTAATGACAGTGCTGTTGAATTCAGATATGCACCCATACTGTAGCCTAGTTCTGCAGTAGTTAATACGGCTAAACCAGTCATCAGAGAAAAGGGTTTTTTAATTAGTCTTTATGTAATTTGAGAGATTTTTAGCATTCGTTTGAGACAGGTAAAGATGTAGCCACTGTTTTAGGAACTTCAGTCTAAAGGCTTAAAGCTAGTCAGCTATTTTAAAGTGGTCAAAGAGAGAACTTTTTTGACTGCCCTAGTTTTGAGATATGACTTATTGTCATGGGCAGGTAACTTATGATCTTCCTGTCCCCTTGTCTTTAAAACTAGAATAATAATGGTAGTTTATTTTCCAGGAGAATTTAATTTTAATTATATAGGGTTTCTGAAGTGCTCTTCAAAATGGAAAATTCTGAGCTATCAGGTTTATTAATCACTATTTATGGTAATTGGAATATTTTATTTCAGAGTATTGCTATTTTAGAATATAGCTTTTATTTTAATTAGCTACTAAAACTCTTCCAGCATTTCTGATGCAAACACGTCAGTAGATGCATTTTTGCACAAACATTTTACCAATCAGTTACAGCCAGAGCTGCTATTTTGCCAAATATTAGTATATTCACTGAATGCTCATTTTAGAAGTGTGTACTATTGAACTAATAAGCTAAAGTATTATTTTGCTGTTCATATTCTGTAGCCTGATTTATTAATTGTTCTTGTTGTAATATAATGGGGAAAAGTTATGGCTGGGGTGAAATATTTGTACCTCTTAACATTATATAAAGGTTTCTTAGTCTCTCAGGTCTAATAATTTAGGACTGGAAGTGAAAATTCCGTGACTCATATTACAATGGTTAAATAGGGATAACGGTGTTTGTAGATACTGTGAAATATAATTACTAGCCTATTTCCTAAAAAAGGGCAATCTTAAGTCACAAAATCTACTTTTCTCTAATAACTTTCGATTCCCTTGGTCCTTTGCAAAGGGACTTAGGCGTTTAAACTTCAATGATTTCAATAATTATAATGAAGAGAGACATCCTCTATCAGTAAATTACCAATTTAAGTAAAGGTACTGGTGACCCCTCTAGAATAATGCCCTTGCTATAGGGGAATTTCAGGTGGATTCCTGTGGTTTAGTCACAAGTCTGTAAGAAATTCAGCATTGGTAGTTCTTCATTCATGAAGTAACATGTTAGAATCTGTAGAAAGCGTGAAATGTGAAATTTTTTACAATACATGTCACTCTTCAGTATCCTGTTTACTTTTCTCTATTTCTGCATTTATAAAAGGGTAAACTACTAGTTTAGAAATCTGTAGCCTTTTTTCAAGTGGTTTTTATTTTTACTCCAGGGTTTATGTTTTAATCTAAACCTTGAAAACAAAAGTAATTTTAAGGAAGGATTTGTATGCTCTAGTTCAGTCCATACGGTATAATGTAATAAGCAGTTATCTGTTTCATTGCTTTGTAGGTGGCCTTGATAATGTAGAATATTACGATATCAAGATGAATGAATGGAAGATGGTGTCTCCAATGCCATGGAAAGGTGTAACAGTGAAGTGTGCTGCTGTGGGATCTATAGTCTATGTCCTGGCTGGTTTTCAGGGTGTTGGTCGATTAGGGCACATTCTTGAGTATAATACTGAAACAGACAAGTGGATAGCCAACTCCAAAGTCCGTGCTTTCCCAGTGACAAGTTGTTTAATCTGTGTTGTAGACACTTGTGGGGCAAATGAAGAAACTTTAGAGACCTGAAGACCTGTAGGAGATGCTGAGACGTTCTTCAAGGACTTGGGGAAAGATGGCTATTGGTGCTTTGCTTCCATGTTTTACTGGATCTTGTTAAACTGAGTAACACAAAAAACTGAGATGCAGTCTTTCAAGTTTGTATATACAGCACATTGTACAACATGGATTTTTGTCATGCCCATTTTCTTGTCTGTTTTAAGAGATGGGGATGTGCTTTGAGAATCCGCTTACCTAGCTGAGATCATATGGCATCTTCCTTTAAAAGGACTCTGTGTGTGGCCTTGTCAAAAATAGACCCAATCCAGTTATTTGAAAGAACTTAAAGCATTTGATGAAGATAACATTTCTGGTTGTTGTGGTTTAACACCAGCTGGCAACTAGGACCATGCAGCCGTTCACTCCCCCACCCCACGCCCACCCCTGAGTAGGCTAGGGAGAAGAGAGAGAAAAAGGAGAAAAAAACCTTGTGAGCTGAAACAAAAACAGTTTCATAGAACAGTAACGGAAGAGAAAATAGTAATAGTGGTAATAGAATATACAGAATAAGTGATGCAATACCATTGCTCACCACCCAACGATCAATTGCCCAGCCTGTCCTGAGCAGCAGTCGTGGATTTCTTCCCCCCCGCCCCAAACCCCTGTTTCTATACTGAGCATGACATCTGGAACATTCCTTTGGCCAGCTTGTCCTGTCTATGCTCCTTCTCAGCTTCTGTGGGAAGCTGAAAAAGTCCTTGACTTAATGTAAGCATTACTTAGCCAAAACTAAACCAATATGTGTTACCAACATTATTCTCGTACTAAATTCAAACACTGCAGCTACTAGGAAGAAAGTTAATTCTCTCAGCTGAAACCAGGACACTGGTTAAATGACACTTTACTGAGCTCAGTTGCAGAGATTGCTCATTTAATAAAGGTGAGTAAATGCAGCTTGGGTCATGAGAAATATGGGCAAAAAATTTTCTCATTTATACCTACCTGCAGAAATCTTACTGGGATGCAATGAAGATTTTTCCTCAGGAAAAGACCAAGGACAGCAGTGTAATAAAGATTCCCATGGTGAATGGGGGTAGGCTATACAGCTCTCTAGATTGTGATAGCTGCCCTCTTCCAGTGACTTTTCTTCCATCATTTGCATGACTGCATATCAATTTTTAAAGTTAGACAGGCCATATATAGAGATTAAAGAAATACTTTGCTATTGACATCTTTGGCATTTTGGGGAGCTTTCACAGAGACTTTTTTTTTTAACTAAACTGAGGTAGGGGAATGGTGGGGGAAGTCCAAAATAATTATGCACTATAATTAGCAAGTTGGAAACTTGGGATTAATTTTCAATATATCTTCCCAGGCATCAGACTGTACATACTGTGGATGCCAAACCATTAGCAAAGATGGGAATAGGAATGGGAAAGCAAAGTCAATACAACAAATGTATTGATTTTATTCTTGAAAATGACTGTTTTTAAAATCGCATGAACCAAGTCATTAAAGATACTTTATAGAAGTCTTCTAAAGTTGCACATGGTTATTAATTTCTGGTTTGTAAGCATATAGTTCTGTAAATATTTCCAGCCAACATGATAGTAAACTTCTTCCAGTGTAGAAGTTCAGCTTGTTAAGCTATTGGTGTCAATACCATGTACATCCTCCAACTTCTGGAAGACTACACAAATGATGTATGTCTGTCTGTCCTGCTCCCATGCCGGTTTATTAATATCTTCATCCTAACTTTGTCACCTCCCTTCTAACTTGCTAATTTTTTCAGATCTGTTTCTATGAGACTATCAACTTAAAAAGCTGGTGCTTGCCTACCTGTACCTTATGCATTGCTGGTGGTGTGGATTTTGAGTCTGTTTTATTTCTGAAGATCTTCCAAGTTCTCCTAAGTAGTATAAATTGCAGTTTTCAAAGTCAGTGCTTCTTTGTAGACTTTGTCCTGGTTTTCTTCTGCATCCTAACGACTCCGTGTGTACAGAAAATGGTAGATGCACTACAGGGCTTAATAGTGGTCCTGCCACTTAGTTCTTTATTCAGTAGTAAGTGAATGCCACCAAACTTTTTTTTTTTTTACCCTGTTCCCCCTTGCTTTTCCCTTTTTCTGAGCCACAAAGTACCGTGTCATTGTTGTCTCCGATCATCAGTTCTAAGATGCTGTAAAAACTGAATTGAGCTGTGCACTTCTTCAGGTTGGTGGGTTGTTTGGTTTTTTTTAATCTGCCTTTAAAATTGTGAACTGCCACCTTCTACCTTTATTTTCAAGGGGTTAGTAATTCTTTTGTTAAGCTACTGAAAAAACTTCATAAATGCAACGAAGTGTAGCATGTCACAAAGTGTGAGCCATCTTCTTGGCGTGGCTTTCTCAGTGGCGGGACTGTACACAGCTCCTCAAACCCCGCTATGTCTTCTTGACGGTGCTCACGGTGTTTGTGTACGCCTCGTAGTCTGGGTTTTTTAACTCGACTTTTACTTCGCCGTCTGCCCCCCTTCAGTACCTGAACTGAAGGCGACGCTTCCCTGTCGTCTGGCAGGCCCTGCCGTCTGTCGCTGCGTGTGGTGACACAGCCCGGTCGGCGGACAGCTCTGCCCTCAGCGGCGGCCGTTGGGCC